TATAGAAGCAGAAGAGACTTGAAGACGATGTAATCAGTCCATCACCCTTAAGTTTTGAGGTGGTCCGTCCCCCAGTCTGGAGAAGAGCATTGTTCCAAGTCTGAAACAATATTGGGTTTAATACGGAAAAGCCTTAAAACGAGGGCTGAACCTACTTTTGGGTAGGCCCTCTCATTCCAGCCTTCTCCTTAATCAATTTTCGGGCTGACCAAGAACCCTTTTGTTAGGCGAAAGTTGAAATAAAATGGTTAAAAAAAGCATTGTTGGTAAAAACCAAAAAAAGGGATTTATCAAAAGAAAGTTTAAAGAGGGGCAACTGTATTATCATCCCCTTTAAATTTAGGGGGTAGCCCCCAGTTGGAGAAGAGAGTTGAGGAAAAAAGGTTTGCACAACAAGTTTAGAGAGGGATGAATTAAAACTAAGGGAGGAGGAAGTTCGGGGGAGATATAAGCGACTGTTGGCAGAAAGGTGGGCTAGTGCAAAGATGAGTAGTGGGGGGGTTGAAGAGGGTTGGAATAGTTTTAAAAATGCAGTATTAGAATGTGGGGCAGAAGTTTGTGGTTATAGGAGGGTGGGGGCAGGTGGAAAGAGGAGTGATTGGTGGAATGATGAAGTAAAGGGTGTGATAAAAGAGAAAAAGTTAGCTTATGCGAGGTTTTTACAAAGCAGAAGTGTTATAAGAAAAGCAGAGTATATGGAGAGTAAAAGAAAGGTGAAGAGAGTGGTGAGAGAGTGCAAAAGGAGAGCAGATGATAGAGTGGGAGAGGCACTGTCAAGAAATTTTAATGAAAATAAGAAAAAATTTTGGAGTGAGTTGAACAAGTTATGAAAGCCTAGGGAAAGTATGGATTTGTCAGTTAAAAACAGAGTAGGGGAGTTAGTAGATGGGGAGAGGGAGGTATTAGGTAGATGGCGAGAATATTTTGAGGAACTTTTAAATGTTAAGGAAGAAAGGGACGTGGTAATTTCATGTACTGGTCAGGGAGGTATACCATCTTTTAGGAGTGAAGAAGAGCAGAATGTAAGTGTGGGGGAGGTACGCAAGGCATTACGTAGAATGAAAGGAGGTAAAGCAGCTGGAACTGATGGGATCATGACAGAAATGTTAAAAGCAGGGGGGATATAGTGTTGGAGTGGTTGGTACTTTTGTTTAATAAATGTATGAAAGAGGGGAAGGTACCTAGGGATTGGCGGAGAGCATGTATAGTCCCTTTATATAAAGGGAAAGGGGACAAAAGAGATTGTAAAAATTATAGAGGAATAAGTTTATTGAGTATACCAGGAAAAGTGTACGGTAGGGTTATAATTGAAAGAATTAGAGGTAAGACAGAATGTAGGATTGCGGATGAGCAAGGAGGTTTCAGAGTGGGTAGGGGATGTGTAGATCAAGTGTTTACATTGAAGCATATATGTGAACAGTATTTAGATAAAGGTAGGGATGTTTTTATTGCATTTATGGATTTAGAAAAGGCATATGATAGAGTGGATAGGGGAGAAATGTGGCAGATGTTGCAAGTATATGGAATAGGTGGTAAGTTACTAAATGCTGTAAAGAGTTTTTATGAGGATAGTGAGGCTCAGGTTAGGGTGTGTAGAAGAGAGGGAGACTACTTCCCTTCCCGGTAAAAGTAGGTCTTAGACAGGGATGTGTAATGTCTCCATGGTTGTTTAATATATTTATAGATGGGGTTGTAAAAGAAGTAAATGCTAGGGTGTTCGTGAGAGGGGTGGGATTAAATTATGGGGAATCAAATTCAAAATGGGAATTAACACAGTTACTTTTTGCTGATGATACTGTGCTTATGGGAGATTCTAAAGAAAAATTGCAAAGGTTAATGGATGAGTTTGGGAATGTGTGTAAAGGTAGAAAGTTTGAAAGTGAACATAGAAAAGAGTAAGGTGATGAGGGTATCAAATGATTAGATAAAGAAAAATTGGATATCAAATTGGGGAGGAGGAGTATGGAAGAAGTGAATGTTTTCAGATACTTGGGAGTTGATGTGTCAGCAGATGGATTTATGAAGGATGAGGTTAATCATAGAATTGATGAGGGAAAAAAAAGGTGAGTGGTGCGTTGAGGTATATGTGGAGTCAAAAAACGTTATCTATGGAGGCAAAGAAGGGAATGTATGAAAGTATAGTAGTACCAACACTCTTATGTGGGTGTGAAGCTTGGGTGGTAAATGCAGCAGCGAGGAGACGGTTGGAGGCAGTGGAGATGTCCTGTCTAAGGGCAATGTGTGGTGTAAATATTATGATGAAAATTCGAAGTGTGGAAATTAGGAAAAGGTGTGGAGTTAATAAAAGTATTAGTCAGAGGGCAGAAGAGGGGTTGTTGAGGTGGTTTGGTCATTTAGAGAGAATGGATCAAAGTAGAATGACATGGAAAGCATATAAATCTATAGGGGAAGGAAAGAGTGGTAGGGGTCGTCCTCGAAAGGGTTGGAAAGAGGGGGTAAAGGAGGTTTTGTGGGTGAGGGGCTTGGACTTCCAGCAAGCGTGCATGAGCGTGTTAGATAGGAGTGAATGGAAACGAATGATACTTGGGACCTGACGATCTGTTGGAGTGTGAGCAGGGTAATATTTAGTGAAGGGATTCAGGGAAACCGGTTATATTCTTATAGTCGGACTTGAGTCCTGGAAATGGGAAGTACAATGCCTGCACTTTAAAGGAGGAGTTTGGGATATTGGCAGTTTGGAGGGATATATTGTGTATCTTTATACGTATATGCTTCTAAGCTGTTGTATTCTGAGCACCTCTGCAAAAACAGTGATTATGTGTGAGTGTGGTGAAAGTGTTGAATGATGATGAAAGCATTTTCTTTTTGGGGATTTTCTTTCTATTTTTTGGGTCACCCTGCCTCGGTGGGAGATGGCCGACTTGTTGAAAAAAAAAAAATAATGTATATAATATAATACGTAATAGTACAATAATAATTATAATAATATGAATGACATTATAATAATAATAATACTGTGAATGATGGTGAAAGTTTTTCTTTTTCGGGCCACCCTGCCTTGGTGGGAATCGGCCAGTGTGATAATAGAATAATAAATATGTACTGCGTATAATTTAGTTTGACAACACCACCACATTGCTCACCAGTGCATATGTGCTTACGGAGTTACCCTCGCGGTGCAAGGAATTCTTGTGATTTCCTTAAGTGTCGTGCAGTTAATTCACCAGATTTCTTCTAACCATGGGTCCTAAGAATGCAAGTGCAAAGGACAGTGCCGATAAGAAAAAGAGGATGATTTGCACAGAATTAAAGCAAGAAATGATTAATAAGCACAGACTAGGTATGAGGGTTGAGGACTTGGGGAGTGAGTACAAGCGTAGCCCCTCTACTATATGTGCCTACAGGTTTAGCGCTTCCCCATGATTAATAATAATAATAATAATCTACTATATGTGCAGTACTAAAGCAGGAGGAGTCTATAAAGGCTATCTCCAGCAAAGGGCATTACAGTAATTTCTAAGCAGCCGACCTCTGTCAATTAAAGGATGGAGAAGCTGCTGTTAACATGGTTTACGGAGAAACAGCTCACAGGAGATACGTAGTGTAGTGAGATAAACATAAAAATTGTACATAGTCTTTAAGAAAAGTGTGAACTTCCTGACAGGATATGCCGCTCTTCATTTCTTCTCCAAGATATGTAAATGTCGTATGTACACCAGATCTGATTCAGTTAGCCTCACAAACTCTGTTTTCTCTTATAACACCTCTGATGTTTTCATAGCTAGAATGTTCGACCACAAGCCTCCTCCCTCAGCTGTCCACATAATGACATATTTTATTCATTCTAGAGTTTATATCCGGTTTTTATGTTATTTATATTGTTTATTATGTCATATTAGATGAATTATGACAGATAAATAAGCTATAGAGTTGATATTAGGGTTATTTTGTCATGCCTCCTGAGAGCAGGACTTCAGCTGGAACGAATTAATTGCATTTCATTTAATTTAAATGAGGAAAATTGACCCATCATACGAACAAATCAGGATACGAACAAGTCCACGTAACGGATTAAATTTGTAAGCCGAGGTTCCACTATATATATAATAGACACAATAATATGACTGGAATGTCAACACTCAATCATTAACTTACAATCCCTGACAAAGCTAAGTATTCAGTCTACTAAATATTAAACTGTCAAGGTTTTTATTTCGATTAAGGAAAATTTCTAAACATGTAGGGGTTATATAGTGGGAAACTGTTAAGATCCATATTTAGGATGGTTTGTAATTAAGTCCAGGTTGCCTGGGTTTTATAACAGTCCAGCTGGCTTTTTATCTAATTGAAAGTGGAGACAAACATTAAAGTCATCTGGCATCTCAGAGCATCCTATAGATAGACTGGGAAACTGCAATGGAAATTCTAGTCATTGTGATGATTATTATGGGTATCAAGGATAATATAGACTGTATTGTCTGAAGTTTCCTTTTCAAATTGTGGGTTTATTGTCAATAGATTGTTTGCACAGTGATCATTCAGTATTTATGACCATTTATTGATAGCAAGCATTCTGAAGCAACCACCTGCCTTAAGACTTGCTTGTGTTTGAGAAAATACAGTAACTCGTATGCTTGTCTATCATGTCTCTGATGCTTATTTCTGTAAAACTTTGTAAAACGACTCACTTTCACAACAACACATGCATACCATTTTTTTAAATTGTTTATCATTGTGCAGTTATTATAATGTTAGGTAAATGGACACAGATGGAACTAATGTGACATTTTATTGTGGCAACGTTTCGCTCTCCAGGAGCTGTTGCAAACGGCTCCTGTCAAGCTGTTGCAAATGGCTTGACAAAGCTAGAGAGTGAAATGTTGCCACAATAAAATGTCAAATTAGTTGCATCTGTATCCATTTACCTAACATTTTGTTAGTAACTCTACCATTACATATTACTAATTATTATAATGACTGTTATCTTTCTTAATATACTGTATAGCCATTAATATAATTCAAAATACTCAAACTTGCAGCAAGTATTGCTTCACGTTTTCACATCACCAAGTACCCAACTCTAAAGCTCCTGAGAAATGGTCAAGCTTCAAAACGGGAATACCGTGGACAGAGATCTGCGGATGCTTTTGCAACTTTCATAAAGGAGCAGTTACGTGATCCTATTAAAATAATTGAAAGCCTAGATGAAACACAGAATTTAGAGGTATGCTAATTTTTGTTTTGGATACCTAAGTGACCAGAATAATTTAGACTACTTATGTATAGATAATGATAGGGGCAAATTATACAGTAGGTGGTGATAGGCAGAACCCATACAGCAGGTGAGGATAGAGTGGGGATCACACGTAGGTGATTATCGGTGGGATCTTTCAGTAGGTGGTGACAGGGAGGGATTTTACAGTAGGTAGTGATAGGTCGATTTCACACACATGGTGATTGGTAGAGATCACGCAAGTGATGATGGATGGGGATCGTGCAGGCAATGATAGGTGGGGATTGTGTAGTAGGTAATGATTGGTGGGGATCTCGAGTTAGAATGCTTTGTACTGAATCTCTCTAATTTTAGTACTGTATGTGTGAAGTATAAAGATAATTGAGGAATAAGGCATGGATATCAAGAGAAAAGTTGACTGAAGAAATAAAATGTGCTGTATTACTGTACTGTGATGTATAGGTACATGTGTTGCTCATAATACATGTATTATTGTACTGTGCTGTGTTGCTCATAATAAATATATTATTACTGTACTGTGTTGCTCATAGTACATGTATTATTGTACTATGTTGCTCATAGTATGTATTGTAGTACTGTGTTGTTCATAGTACATGTATTACTGTACTGAGTTGCTCATAGTACATTTATTACTGTGCTGTGTTGCTCATAGTACATGTATTACTGTGCTGTGTTGATCATAGTACATGTATTACTGTGCTGTGTTGATCATAGTACATGTATTGCTTTACTGTGTTGCTCATAGTACTTGTATTATTGTACTATGTTGCTCATAGTATGTATTATAGTACTGTGTTGCTCATAGTACATGTATTACTGTACTGAGTTGCTCATAGTACATGTATTACTGTACAGGAAGGCACCGCTTATACACCAAGTTAGGTTCTGGGTTACCGCTGTAAAGCGAAAATAATTGTAAAGTGACTCGTAGCCTTTTTTTCACTTTCAAATGCATATGAAAGCCTGATAACACATTTACACAAATCATATATTAAGTGAGCAGTATGGCTAGGCCTAAATAATGCATATACACTACACACTTTTATTTTTTTTTAACCCTTTCAGGGTCGACAGGCCCTCTCAGAAACTTGTTCTCAGTCGTCCAAATTTAAAAAAAAAAACAAAAATTATTTTTTCTTATGAAAAGATAGAGAATCTTTCCCGATCATAATGACACCAAAAGTATGAAATTTGATGGAAAACTTACAGAATTATGCTCTCGCGAAGTTAGCGGTCTTGATATTGTTTACACATCGGCGATTTTGCTCACTTTGAGCTCTATTTTAGGCCAATTCCACTGTACTAGTCGACAGAAATCATGAATATTTTGCTAGAACTCCATTTTTTTCTACTGAATGAGTGCAAGAAACCACCCATTTACCGATTTCAGCTATCCAATACAGTGGTCAGAATTTAGCAATTTTGCCAATTTCACACAAATTTCAAAAGATGCCAATTTCCAAATAGGGTCCAGAATAAATAAGAAAGACATTCCTGGCACTAAAATGACATTTCCTCTGTTCATTAGTCATGTCCCACTGCCCCTTTTATATTCTTTTGCTTTTATATTCTTTTGCGTTAACAAACTGGCCATATCCCACCAAAGCAGGGTGACCCAAAAAGAAAATCAAAAGTCTTTTGTTTTACATTTAGTAATTTAACCAGGAGAAGGGGTTACTAGCCCCTTGCTGTATTGTCCTTGTGGCTTAGCGCTTCTTTTTGATTATAATAATAATACTAGCCCCTTGCTCCCGGCATTATAGTCTCCTAGTCTCCTCATACGACATGCATGGCTTACACAGTAAGAATTCTTTTCCACTTCCTCATGGAGACACATTACTTACCTTAAAACATTTTTATCCTTATTGCTAAATATATTTATTGTAGGAAATCTGAATATATGAAGAATGAGCATGATTGAAAACGGCTGTACTGTGTTGCTCATAGTACATATGTATTACTGTACTGTGTTGTTCATAGTACATGTATTACTGTACTGTGTTGCTCATAGTACATGTATTACTGTACTGTGTTGTTCATAGTACATGTATTACTGTACTGTGTTGCTCATAGTACATGTATTACTGTACTGTGTTGCTCATAGTACATGTATTACTGTACTGTGTTGCTCATAGTACATGTATTACTGTACTGTGTTGCTCATAGTACATGTATTATTGTACTGTGTTGCTCATAGTACATGTATTACTGTACTGTGTTGCTCATAGTACATGTATTACTGTACTGTGTTGCTCATAGTACATGTATTACTGTACTGTGTTGTTCATAGTACATGTATTACTGTACTGTGTTGCTCACAGTACATGTATTACTGTACTGTGTTGCTCATAGTACATGTATTATTGTACTGTGTTGCTCATAGTACATGTATTACTGTACTGTGTTGCTCATAGTACATGTATTACTGTACTGTGTTGTTCATAGTACATGTATTACTGTACTGTGTTGCTCATAGTACATGTATTACTGTACTGTGTTGCTCATAGTACATGTATTACTGTACTGTGTTGCTCATAGTACATGTATTACTGTACACTGTTGCTCATAGTAAATGTATTACTGTACTGTGTTGCTCATAGTACATGTATTACTGTACACTGTGTTGCTCATAGTACATGTATTACTGTACTGTGTTGCTCATAGTACATGTATTACTCTACTGTGTTGCTCATAGTACATGTATTACTGTACACTGTGTTGCTCATAGTACATGTATTACTGTACTGTGTTGCTCATAGTACATGTATTATTGTACTGTGTTGGTCATAGTACATGTATTACTGTACACTGTGTTGCTCATAGTACATGTATTACTGTACACTGTGTTGCTCATAGTACATGTATTACTGTACACTGTGTTGCTCATAGTACATGTATTACTGTACACTGTGTTGCTCATAGTACATGTATTACTGTACACTGTGTTGCTCATAGTACATGTATTACTGTACACTGTGTTGCACATAGTACATGTATTACTGTACACTGTGTTGCTCATAGTACATGTATTACTGTACACTGTGTTGCTCATAGTACATGTATTACTATACTGTGTTGCTCATAGTACATGTATTATTGTACTGTGTTGCTCATAGTACATGTATTACTGTACACTGTGTTGCTCATAGTACATGTATTACTGTACTGTGTTGCTCATAGCACATGTATTATTGTACTGTGTTGCTCATAGTACATGTATTACTGTACTGTGTTGCTCATAGTACATGTATTACTGTACTGTGTTGCTCATCGTACATGTATTACTGTACTCTAGTTCTCATGGTACATGTACTGTGGTTCTCATAATACATGTATTACTCTACGGTGGTCCTCATAATACTTGTGCTCCTTGACTTACGATGTTTTGACTTAGAATATTTCGTTTATGATGATGCAAAAGCAATTACTTTGGAGATGAAACTTAAGATAATTATCCAGCAGAAAGACAGCAAGTCTGTAACTTGTATTCATTTATTTACTTTTCAGTATTGGTATTTAGTTACAGTAATTACGTATTTGTTTATTTAATCAGTGACAGTAGTTATATATTTCCTTATTTAGCATATCATATTCATGTTTGACTTGTGATATTTTTGACTTATGATGGGCTCGCCAGAGCATAACTCCATAAGTTGAGGAGTACCTGTACAGTAGGGCCCTGCTGTACGGTGCTTCACTTTACGGTGATTCGCTAATATGTGCATTTCAAATTATGACCAAAAAATTTGTTTATATGGCCGATTTACTAGTACAGCATCCGTGCACCACTCCGTTTACATCCTCCATGAGCTCCATGTCTCTCAGTTATGTCTGGAAACTTTCCAGAATTTCAAGTATTTTAAGGTTATTGCATATTTTATATATATATTTTTTTTTTTTCTCCAACAAGTTGGCCGTCTCCCACCGAGGCAGGGTGACCCAAAAAAGAAAGAAAATCCCCAAAAAGAAAATGCTTTCATCATCATTCAACACTTTCACCACACTCACACATAATCACTGTTTTTGCAGAAATGCTCAGAATACAACAGTTTAGAAGCATATACATATAAAGATATACAACATATCCCTCCAAACTGCCTTATGTGTATCTGTACCTAAATAAACTTACTGTGTTGGCTTGCAGGTACACATTAAAATCACTAAGAGTGTCTCACTAGTAGTGTTGAAGACTCCATAGTAATAATACTACTGCTAATAATAATCACTCTGGGGCACTTTAAATGTTGCATATTACATTATTATAGACATTTTCATTAATCCATCTATGACATTTTTTCAAAATTATATAATAAATACATTATATATCATATAAACAAAATATATGCAATCATAGTAAAACAAATAAATATAATTGTAAGGTGTTGTAGCTGGGTGGACTACCACATCTGATTTCCAACAATAAATACTACCTACCTCTCACCCTACAATAAGACTACAAATATTTTAAATTAAATAATGAGTGTACTGTCTGTGCACTTTACTTTTTTATTGTTTATTTATGAATAGTTCTATTGCTAACATAATATATGATAGTATAAACATCTTATCAGGCATTTATAAGTGAAAAAAAGTGATTCGCTTTATGGCAATTTCCGCTTTACAGCAGTAGCCCGGAACCTAGTATAAGTGGTGCCCTACTGTATGTGTTTTACTGTACTGTTGTTCTCAAAATACATGTATTACTGCACTTTTACAATAATGAATTACTGTATTGCAGTTTTTACTTTACAATTGTTAGTTCCCAGAAAATAAAATCACGAAGGAATGGAATCATATTGTTTAATGAGGAAATAGTATAAAAAATACAAAAATAAATGTAGGAAATGGAAAGAGGAAAAAAAATTGATTCTGATAGAAATAGGTGGGGAGATAATTGTATTTTTTTGCCACATTAGTTGTCTTCCATTTAGCTAGGTGACCCAAAGTAGGAAACACATTCACTATTATTAATTCATGCAGTATGTATTTTCTAATATCTCTGTCCATCCTTGGGAATATAGGCACTATACTTCCCACCTTCAGGACTCAGGGTCTGGCTAGTCAGTTTCCCTGAACCCTGTACTGTTACAGTGCTCACAAAGCAACAGCATGTTCAGTCACAATAAGTAACTTTTGTCTCTACTGCCTCCTATCTAACATGCTCCCACAAGTGTCAGCGTGTACACAGATGGGTCTTAGTTCGCAAAAGGATTAAAGTATGAACTATGTGAATAAATATGATAAAATTTTATGATAGTGTGGGATCATGTTAGATACCGTAGTATAGGATTTCATATATCAAATATCAGAGGGAAAACAGAGCATAGGGGTACTGTTATATTGTTTCTTGTCCTAAAGTATCTCTTGCTTGCATAACTCAGGATGATTGTTTTGTCTCAGTACAAGTTTATATATGTATTATTTTACTTCACAAAATTATGTATTTTGTCATGACTGTATTATGTTATTCTCAGGAGACAAAAAGGACAGTGATAGGTTACTTTGAGCAGCAGGATGTTCCTGAGTTTGAAGTGTTCCGGAAAGTAGCTCTCAATCTCAAGGATGACTGTCAGTTCCTTGCTGGCTTTGGGTAAGGTTATTGTATTTCCTATATTACTTTAATTATGAATTTGTAGAGAAGGTAATTAAACTAAGTTTTATACAGTATTGTTTACCAGCCAGTGTTTTAGACAAGAGATAATAACAATAGTTGTTGTACCACAGGAGAAACTAAACTGCTGCTTTACACCTTGAGGACACTGCACAAAGTCTCATATGGTAGGATTTGCCCAGTTTACTTATAGATGCCACTTTGAGCTTTTTAACAGCCTTGTGCTTACTCATGAATAAATCAATCTTCCCTCCTCACTCCCTCATATCTGTACCAAACATAAATGAATTTAGTAAAACAAACAGCATAAATTTTTATTTTCTTTCTTTGTTCTAAGAAAGAGGAAAGAAAGGGAAGAGAGAGACTGTAAATAGCAATATCTGTGGTAATTGTTTAATAAGTTAACAAGATAAAAGTGAATGAAAATGTAATCAATTGTTAATTTGCACATAAAGATCACAGTTGTAGGGTTAACTTAGACATTAAGATCACAATTTCAGTATACGTGTAGAATGTATATGTTTAGAACAGTGCTCTCAAGATTCATATTGTGATAAATGTTCAACACAGAATAGTGTGATTTATTAAAATGAGGTAATTTTTTTTTTTTTTTTTTATTGGTAGACAAGTGGGAAAAAAGTGGAACTGTTTTAATAAATGTTTAGGCTTGTAAGACAGTTTACAAGTTGGTCAGTATCCAGAATCAGACATCGTTATTTTATGCTTAAGAAAAAAAGTTTAAGACAAATATTTTTAAGGAATAGTAAATACTGTTAAATTTGGGAAGCTTGCCAGTACAGTGGTACCTCGAGTTATGAACTTAATTTGTTCCAGAAGGCTGTTCGAATGCCGATACCGAATGAATTTGTTCCCCTAAGGAATAATGTAAATTAGATTAGTCCATTTCAGACCCCCAAAAATACACTTACAAAAGTACTTACAAAAATGCACTTACATAATTGTTCGAGTTGGGAGCTGTTTGAAGCTAGAGGTACCACTGTAGTTTATTTATCACTTAGGTATTAATGTGGCGGTATTTTATTTATCATTAAGTACTGATGTGCTAATAAAAAGTGCCAGCGGATGGGTCTATGAAAGATGAGGTGAATCATAGAATTGATGAGGGAAAAAGAGTGAGTGGTGCACTTAGGAGTCTGTGGAGACAAAGAACTTTGTCCTTGGAGGCAAAGAGGGGAATGTATGAGAGTATAGTTTTACCAACGCTCTTATATGGGTGTGAAGCGTGGGTGATGAATGTTGCAGCGAGGAGAAGGCTGGAGGCAGTGGAGATGTCGTGTCTGAGGGCAATGTGTGGTGTGAATATAATGCAGAGAATTGTAGTTTGGAAGTTAGGAGGAGGTGCGGGATTACCAAAACTGTTGTCCAGAGGGCTGAGGAAGGGTTGTTGAGGTGGTTCGGACATGTAGAGAGAATGGAGCGAAACAGAATGACTTCAAGAGTGTATCAGTCTGTAGTGGAAGGAAGGCGGGGGTAGGGGTCGGCCTAGGAAAGGTTGGAGGGAGGGGGTAAAGGAGGTTTTGTGTGCGAGGGGCTTGACTTCCAGCAGGCATGCGTGAGCGTGTTTGATAGGAGTGAATGGAGACAAATGGTTTTTAATACTTGACGTGCTGTTGGAGTGTGAGCAAAGTAACATTTATGAAGGGGTTCAGGGAAACCGGCAGGCCGGACTTGAGTCCTGGAGATGGGAAGTACAGTGCCTGCACTCTGAAGGAGGGGTGTTAATGTTGCAGTTTAAAAACTGTAGTGTAAAGCACCCTTCTGGCAAGACAGTGATGGAGTGAATGATGGTGAAAGTTTTTCTTTTTCAGGCCACCCTGCCTTGGTGGGAATCGGCCAGTGTGATAATAAAAAAAAAAATAATAAAAAACCCACGAAACGAGTGGGGTTTGAATCATGGTGAATGAGTGGTAAAGCTCCAGGCCAGTGTGTAATCCACTCGGCCAGTGGCTACAGTAAGATTCATCATCCATCAGGTTACATTTATACACCATTGGGAGGTTACATGGGGTCCCACTGTGACCACAAATGCAAGTTTTTGCAGACGAATCTCCTGCCAGTGTGGATGTGGCAAACTCTAATCAAGTCCCCTGAAAAGCCGCCATCATGACTCATGAAACTATAATAATAAAATTGCAAGCAAACAATGGAATGGGTGGGGTTTGAACCCATGGCGAGTGTTATGATTTCATGAGTCATGATGGCGGCTTTGAAGGGACTTGAGCTAGATTTCACCACAGCCACATCTGACTGTAGCCAGCTGGAGTTTTAGGATTCACTTGCCATGGTTCAAACCCCACCTGTTCCCTGGTTTGTTTGCAATCATGTTATGATTTTGTGAGTCATGTGTCAGTAGTATATTTATCATTGGTATACCAGTAGTATATTTATCAAGGACAGTGGTACCTCGGTATACATCCGCTTTGGAATAAGTCCAACTGGTATACGTCCGGTCTGGACGCGAAATTTTTTGCCTGGTATACGACCTTTGTTTAGAATATGACTCACGTGCTAGAACTTGTATGGGTCAAAATGAGTCATGACACCGTGCAGTACTCTTGTTTACTTCTCTCTCTCGACAGGCATGCCTGCCCAATGCATTCCAACTCCTTAACCCTTTGAGGGTTTTCGTCGTACTAGTACGTCTTACGTGTAGGGGTTTTTGACGTACTAGTACTCATAAATTCTAGCGGCCTCAGATCTAGTGGGAGAAAGCTGGTAGGCCTTCATATGAAAGAATGGGTCTATGTGGTCAGTGTGCACAGTCTAAAAAAAATCCTGCAGCACACAGTGCATAATGAGAAAAAAAAAACTTTGACCATTTTTTTTTAATAAATCAGCGACTTTGCAGTGTATTTTCGTAAGGTATTTATTGTTGTATTCTAGTTTTCTTGGTCTCATTTTATAGAATGGAAGACATATTACAGAAAGAGAGATGATTTTGACTGGTTTTACAAAGAAAGGTGCCTTGAAATTGAGCTCAAAGTAGCAGAAATGTTCGATTTTTACCAAACTTCAAAAGTAAACAAATCGTGCCAAGCGTGCAATACACGTCAACTGGTGAGTCTAATATTCTTTCACAAGTGCACCAATAATATTTATACCATTTTTTACACTAATGCAGTAGTCTGCATAACAGTAAATCTTATATTTTTTGTGAAAATAAAAATTCAAAGTGGAAAGCAAAAGAATATAAGAGGGGCCTTGAGACGTGAATAATGACTAGAGGAAATGTCATTTTAGTGCCAGGAATGTCTTTCTTGTTATTCTGGACCCTATTCAGAAATTGGCATCTTTTGAAATTTGTGTGAAATTGGCAAAATTGCTAAATTCTGACCACTGTACTGGATAGTTGAATTCCATAAATGAGTGGTTTCTTGCACCCATTCGATAGAAAAAATGGAGTTCTAGCGAAATATTCATGTTTTTTGTCGACTAGTACAGTGAAATTGGCCGAAAATGGGGCTCAAAGTGGGCAAAATCGCCGATGCGTAAACATCGCCGAGACCGCTAACTTTGCGAGAGCATAATTCCGTAAGTTTTCTATCAAATTTCAAACTTTTGGTGTCTTTATGATCGGGAAAAGATTCTCTATCTTTTCATAAGAAAAAATAATTTTTTTTTTTTTTTAAATTTGCCCGACCCTGAGAACGAGTTTCGGAGAGGGCCTGTCGACCCTCAAAGGGTTAAACCAGTTCTATTTGCAGATGACACTACATATGTCTACTCCCATTCAGACCCAGCTGTGCTTGGAAACACTGTAACCAATGAACTGCTAAAGATATGTGCTTGGATGATGACCAACAAACTCACTCTCAACATAGACAAAACATACTTCATGCTGTTTGGCAACAGAGCCTCAAATATCCAACATAACATACTGTTAAATGGTTCCCCTATATCAAGACATGCAGAGGGCAAATTTCTAGGTCTCCTTGACTGTAATCTTAAATTTCAGTTCCATACCCATCACATAGCCAAGAAAATTTCCAAATCAGTAGGAATCCTTTCCAAGATACGATACTATGTACCACAAACGACTCTCCTTACCCTGTACCACACACTGATATATCCTTATTTCACCTATGGTATCTGTACCTGGGGCTCAACCACAGCCAACCACCTCAGACCCTTAACCCTTTCAGGGTCCGTCCCGTAAATCTACGGCTTTACGTTCAGGGTCCAAACCGTAGATCTACGCCATGAGCTCAGCTCACTCTGATAAACTGTGAGTGGTACATTTGGGCCTAGATATGAGAGAATACATCTATGTGGTATGTGTGCACCACATAAAACAGATCCTGCAGCACACTGTGTATAATGAGAGAAAAAAAAATGAAATCATGATTTTTCGATTAAAACAGCAACTTTGCAGTGTTTTTTCGTATGTTTTTTATAGTTGTATTTGCGATTTCTTGGTCTCATTTGATAGAATGGAAGACATTAGAAATGAGATAATTTTGATTGTTTTAGCATTGGGAAATGGCTTGAAACTGAGCTCAAAGTAGCGAGAAAATGTTAAATTTTTGCCGATATTCACGGGAAACAAACGACCTCACATGTCTAATACACATCAACTGGTGGGTTCTTATACCTTCACAAATATGGTGATGCTATTTATACAATTATTACAGTATTGCAAACAGAAATCTTCTTTTTTTGGTGTGAATAAAAATTCATATGTGAATAAAAAATCAAATGAATTTATTGTAAAAGCCTCAAAACATAACTATGAAACAGGGAAATGTTAGATTTAGTGCCAGGAATGCCTACATTGTTCATTTGGACCTATTTTGAAATGTGGAAAAGTTTGAACTTTGTGTTAAATTGGGCCCAAATAAACAATTTCGATCACTTTATTTTGTAGTTGAAACAGTTGAAATGGGCGAATTTTTGTGCTCAATTTGGAAAGAATAGAAGTAATAAGTGAAATAGCTAAGAATTTGGATGATGGAATAAGT